TCGGGGGGAAGCCTCGCACCCGCCAGGTACAGATGTGCCCCAGCAGTGAGGTTAGCCGTGCCGACAACAAGGATGAGCATTCCCTCCTGATTTTTCTGGAGCAAAACCTGCTGTTCCAAAAGCAAAGCAGCTCACAGAAAAGCTACAGATCTGCCTGGCCTGGAGGAGCAGCCCGGAACAACAGGATGAATTCTTTCTGTGTTACAGCTGGCATGAGGTTGTGCCAGTTACTGCTGCTCGGGTCTGCTCTCCAGGGCCTGCTACAGCCAAGGTGCTCAGAAAAGGATGGGGTAATGGGGGTAATGGGGTAACAGAATCATAGAATTGCCTGTGTTGGAGGGGACCTCACAGATGAATCTCCAACCCCTCCCCACATGCAGGGCCACCAACCTCCCCATTTCACAGCAGCCCAGGCTGCCCAGGGCCCCATCCAACCTGGCCTTGAACACCTCCAGGGATGGACGGGGCATCACAGCCTCTCTGGGCAGCTGTTCCAGCACCTCAACACTCTCATAGCAAAGAACTTCCTCCTGATATCCAACCTCAATCCAGCAGGTGGCTCAGGACAAAGCAGACTGAGAGCAGTGGCCATAGCAGTGCAGCACTGATGCCTGTAGCTTTGCCCTCCTTTCCTCATTCCTCCTGCTCTTCATTGAGATGCAACCTCAGAAGTAAAATCATAAGAAGGTGGGGTGCAGCAGTGCTAGTCCAGTGCCCAGCAATACCCATTAAGCAGGAGGTTGCTATGCTGCCACTCATTTCCATCTGTCTTCAGCATTTTCATTAGCTCCTCGCTGCTTCAGGCACGCTTTGCCGACTCGCACTACAAAGCACAGACAGTGGCAGAAGGCAGAGATGTGCTCTTACTCTCGGGGAGCGCTCTGAGCACCGTGCAGCGACAGCCCACACACGTACAGCAACACTGCTTATTATCCAGAGCTGTTTGTTACATTAATAGGGCTCCTGCTTGGCTCTGGGAAGGGGAAGTAGGACGCCTCGCTAAGCGGGCTGCTTGTTGCTGCCACACACGTGCAGGTGGGCACTCCTGTGCTCCCCCCCTTTTCCTCTTGCAGAAGGGCTGTCCAATTCTCTGCCCCACGTGTACTCCTGGCATCGATTCACGGGCCGGGTCCAGATGCAGGAAGGAAGCAGCCCCAAGCCAGCAACAAATGCTGCGTGGAAATAATAAGCATCACTGATTGAGCAGCACTCAGGCTTCTGGGTGGCAGGGAGGAAGCCATGCAGCAGCTCTAAGAGGAATGCTGTCATAATCATTTTTCCTCTAGCAAAGCAGCAGGGGAAGTCTGCAGGGCTTCTTTCTGTCCATTAAACACTTCTGATTCGACACCTCCTAATCTGAGTGTTGTTTAACAGGTCCTCAGCAATTAACCGCAGTGCTGCTGTCAGCATTTCTGAGAATTGAAAGAACTCTAGTATACAAAAAGGAAAAAAAAAAAAACCCACAGAGATTAAGAACAAGATTTGAGGTATGCTTTAAACAAGCTCGAGATGCTGAGCTGCTCCTCTAAGGAAAGCCCACATTAATGCTCCATTGCCTGTGTCACCTCCAGCTCCCAGCAGGCACAGCCCAGGACTTGGGCATCACATCACACCAGTTGTTTTCCAGCATCCCTGCTGCCACCCTGGTTTTAAAGGCAAAACCCAGAGCAGTCCACTTGCTCTGGATGGAAAGGCACCTGCTGGCTTTGCACTACTCCTGTGGGGAGGCAGCAGCTACCAGTGCTGCCCAGCTCCACACCACCAGTTGTAGTGATCTGAAACATCCTGATATGGAGGGTGTCCCCAGGTTGCAGAAGTTATAGGTGTGTGTTACATCAAGAACTGTACCATTGCTCCCCAGAACGATGGCTCACTCTGTACTTGCACTTGTACTTGCTGCTCTCCAGAAGTACAAAGACAGAACTTGCTCATCTTCAGACCTCTCACAAGTGCAGCTTAAGAGAGCTTTAGAAGCGTCTGGCATTATTGCAGTTCTTCAGGCTCACGTGTGAAAGGAGAAATGAATTTCCTCTTCCCACCTGCTGGCCAGGCCATGAGCAGAGCTGAGCTCCTCAGGCTGCACGTCTGCTCTCCTCCCACTCAGACCTGGAGGTGCTGTAGGTGATCAGTGCTGGACTGAGGGACAGAGCGTGAGCAAGGCAAAAGCAAAACTGGTATCACAGTGTGCATGAAGATGTGGTAGCAAGGGGCAGAAAAAGCCTGATAACACACAGGCATGGCTCTAATCACTGCAGAAGTCTCATGAGCTGCAGGGCACGGGGGAAAACTTAACCTTCTACAGTGAAAAACAATGAGTGTGGGAGGCAAGCAGCCGTGCAGCCAGAAAGGTAAGCACCTGGACACAGACACGGGCAGTGCTGCTCCCTCGCTTTGTAGGGATTCGCTCTGCTCAGACTCCTGAATGCAATTTTTGAGGCACACGCTCCATCAGTAATGTGTGATTTCTTCCAAGCACGGCCTGGAAAAGCTTAAAAAGCTGTACATGCCCACAGAAACAGAGATACAGCTTTTTAAATGACATTTACAGGTTGCTGTCAGTCCAGCCCTGGTTTCCTAAGCTCTCCCCCAGACGTGTCTGCATCATGCCCACTCAGCAGATGGAGGTCTTCTAACTGCTCTGGCTCTCATTAGGTGTGATGCTGGCTGCAGGTACCTGAGCATCATCTCACAGCCCTCACAAATCCTCTTTGCCCAAATCCCATCATTAACGGGGCTTCCAGAGATGAATTCTCAACCACCGTTCCTGGTGTTTATGAGGTATTTATTAGCCTCAAGGACACACTAACTAGCAATTCCTAGCTTACCCACTCCTTCAGCTGTAGGCACTGCTGCTCAGAGGCAGACATCCCCTTTTCAAACAGCCCTTTCTCAGGGCAGTGTGATCTGGGGTGGCTGCTCCTCATCTGATCCCAATCAGCTGGCCCTGCCTGGGCTCCCCAGCTCTGACAGCAACCACATTTTCCATTCCAAATGGAAACCAGCTGTTTGCCAGAGCTCCTCCTGCAAGCAGGGCACAGGGAGAGGCACCGAGCAGCGCTGCACCAGGAAACCTCCAGGAGGATCCCAGCCCTTTTTTGCAGCAGAAAGCATTCCAGAGCCTCGTCTGTTCTGGAGCCCCAACGCCCACCCTTGCGTGAGCCAGGGCTGTGCGTGGAGCAAAGCCCTTCTCCAAGGATGGAGAGAGCAGAGGAGAACGCTGATGCCTGCTCATGGAGTTTCCTTGACTTGAGATCACCAACTGGCTGTGGAGAAGATGGTATTTAAACTCCTGGTGTGGGGGGTCAGGAAGGCTTGCCCTGAGCAGTCTTCACAGTTGGCACAGATGGGATGCAGGAGGAGACTGCAACTGCAGCCAAGACAGAATCTTCATTTAAAACTACTTCATTTAAAACTCTGGATCTGAAGCCTGAAGTTCCTGTTGATTTCCTATAGCAGTTAGTCTCTGAAACGTGAGCACTCAAGAAGATACCTCCTCCTGCAGAGTAACATCAGGTGCTGAGTAGGAAAGCAGCCTCTCACACACAAGAGCAAAATCCTTCCAGAAGTAAATCTGTTGGCAGCAGGCAGAGAAAGCAAAGTGCCCACATTCAGTCCTCAGGGGGTTGGCAAAGGCTGAGCACAAAGAACTGCTCCGATGGCCCAGAGCTGGAGGAAATTCAGTACAAACCAACCTTCAGCCCGAGGCCACGTGTTGGCTTTGCAAGACTTGCAGCCCCCAGCTTGCACAAAGCTCTTGCAGATTGGCTCCTTCCACTAGCAGCATGGCTGCTCACAAACACCCCAGATGCCCTCCCTGTGCCTCCCCAGTGCTTGTGCCCCTGCCCAACAGCACAGGACGAGGCTCTGGGGATACCTCTGAACCCGAGCAGCACTTGCAGGTAAAAAGAACTTCTACAAATACACAAATTCCCCACATTTTTAGGGCTTTTTTTCCTCCCCCCCGTCATTAAAACCAATGAACACAGCGCTGTCAGCAGAGGGCAGCAAAGGACCCCGGCTGGAGCCCGATGCCAAGCGCGAGGAGGGAGCCGCGGTGTGGGAGGCTGCTGGAGGCTTCACGGTTATTTAAAATTCATGAATTTGCTCTTTTGCAATCCAGCAGGGCCTGGAAGCACTGCCTTCCCTTCAGCTCCTCCCTGAGCCTCGGAGCAGTGCTCAGCAGGGAGCTCCCCTGCAAGGCGCTGTGTTATCGGGGCAGCTCCTGCTGCAGTGGTTCTGATTTAGAACTCAATCTGCTCTCACCAAGTTTTCCGTTGTTTCCCAAGCAGAACCACTGGGAAACTTTTATTTCCCCATCTTGGAGGCAGCAGTCACGTAATTTAGTGAACGCAGCATCCCTCAGCTGCTCCATGGCTGTCCTGAGAGCAGTTTGCCTCCTGTGGGAAGGCTGTGCTGCTTGTACCAACCACACACCTGCTGGAGGCACCTGGAGCCAGCCAAAAGGCACCACTTTGAGCATCCAAACTCAGTTGTTGCCAGAAGGGCTGGAATTTTACCCCATGCCCGGAGCCTTCCTGGGTGCAGGGCACAGCCCTGAGCAGCAGGCACCTGGAATATGGAACAGAGCAGCAATGGAGGCGGGCACGCAGACCTTGAGGCTGTGGTGGAGCCTGAAGGAAAACCAAACAGTGGTGCAGACGTGCTTCCATCCCGTGCTGTTCATCCCCAGGGCTGTACCCACTGCAGCTGGAACTCGGCAGGCCCTACAGAAACCAGGGAGAATCAGCACTGCCAATGACTGCTCCTAAAGCAGAGAGCTGCAGGACAAAAAGCCATTGGCATTGCAGCCCAAAGCATCTGAAAAATGAGGCAAGAGAATCATTTAAGTGAGTCATGGAATCACAGAATGGTTTGGTTGGAAGGGCCAAACGTTTTCCCAGCACCACGCTGCACAGCTGCTGCCTGCAGTGAGAGCCAAATGCAAGGAGCAACCCTAGTGGGAAGGCTGTAGCTCTGCAGCCATTGACCAGGCCTGCAAAAACCACAATATTGTATATTTTATTTAAATTAACAAATCTACATGTTTTCCAGGTTGCTTAAAAGCATTCTGTAAAAAGTGAACTCAACCTAAACAAAAAAAGGATATACTTTAATAAGATCCAGGAACTATTTCTGAGACATATGAGTAGGGCTTAGGAAGTAAGAAATAAAAAAGGAGACACACACACACACACACACACAAAGCTCACACATACACACGCCCCGTAAACAAGTTGTTAGTGTTTGACACAAAATTTGGTTTGAAAGCTGCAATGCCCCATCTGTAAAGAGCCTTTACAAAAATGCAATGCTATACTACGCTGTAAAAGAAACCATGGACGCATCTATGGGAACAACATAAATATCACATAAGAACCCAGCCTAAGAAGAACATTAAAGTTGCAAAGTCGAGCGCTCAGCCGAGGGAAATGCAGGAGCTGGGGCTGCGTGCGTGCATTTAACTCACTTTGTGTGACAGATCTGCTGCCATACGTCCTGCTGCTCTGCCTAGCACTTGTTTCCTTCAGCACGTGGCTCACGAGCTTCACTCTGCCACCTGAGCTGAAGGCCCCAGCACTTGCACTAGCAGTACAGGAGCACCAGCATCCCACCTCACAAAAACACAAACTTACCAAAAACGCTCAGTGTTCCAGTTCAAGTATCCAAACCCATCCAAAGGGACTTCTGGAAGTAGCATTCAGCACGTCTGTGCTACAGTGATTTCAGTCATTCAGACACAGCAGCAGATGAGTGCCTTCACCTGGAGTGGGGCACCCAACACCGCCCACAGCTCGGGTCAACGAGGACTGGGGCAGGAGCACACGCTGCTCCTGCAATCTGGTTTTCACATTCCCCTGTATTCAACAAACAGGTGTGAAGCCCACTGATGGAGCACGGGAGTTCTTCTTCTAGGACTTAAACAGGCAGCCTCTTTATTTTTAATGTTTTACTGGGCAGGGTGGGGATGGGTCAATGGTTGGACCTGATGAGGTTTTCCAACCTTAATGATTCTATGAAAAATGAGGCCAGCCCGAGCCCTTGTTTGAAGTCACACACAAGGAGAAGAGCAGAAGTGCTCATCCACTCACCATCAGCACCAGCTTTGTGCTGCCCAACAAAAACTTGAGGTCAGGTCTGCCACCTCCTAACATCTGAATGTGCGACTTTGCGACATTAATGCTTTTCTAGCAGATATTTATGTGCTTGAGAGTAACACAATATACACAGCCCTCCCCCAGAAATAACTACACCATATTAAAGTTTACAAATGTTCTGCTCGGTGTCACTGCTCTGTGACAATGCACAAGCTGTGGTGCTTAAAAGGCAAGGTACATCAGACATGGCCCCTGCAGGAGAGCACTGCGTCGTCCTGTGCCTGCCACTGCACCCCTGGGTGTCACTCCTGAGCCTCCTTGCGAGCCAGCTTATAAACCTCTGTGGGGCCATCCACGTGGGTGATGGTGGTGGTGAGCTGGAGCTCCTCCCCGCTGCTCACCCCCAGGTCACCTGCAAAACACAGCAATGCCATCAGATGGTCCTCACAACGCACCGTTGCACGGTTCCAAGGCAAAAGATCTGTTTTTCTCACTCCGGGCTCTCAGGAATTACCTGAGCCACGGGCTATTCTACGAACGCTGTGTCAGGGGATTGGAACTAGGTGATTTTTGAGGGCCCTTCCAACCCATTCTGTGCTTGTGTGAACATTTTTATCTGAGGCCATTACAGTGCCAGCGTGTGGGCAGAGGAAGATCTCAGTGCTACTGTAGGTCACTGAAAGGCAAACAAGAGCACTGCCACTCTCCACTTGCCCAAGTTTCTGTTCCCTTCATTTTGGAGCTATGCGGTTACAACTGGGCAACACCAAAAAGTACAAAAAACCAAGCCACGAGATTTTAAGACAGCTACGGCTGAATACTTAAACCTGTCTAACCTAGTCAATAATTAGATGTCTGCTAAGACAACAGTGCTCTGAAAAACGAGCCGTCATTTGCACAACATTTCAGTGTGCTGGACGTGCAACTTCGCCAATAAGGATGCACAAAAAGCATCACCCACTTTACATCTTTCTTCCAATGCAACGTTTGCAAACAGAGCACTCGGGGCCACTTACCATTCGACTGATCCTCCCCGTAGTTCTTGTGCGACGGCGCATACAGGAACATGAGTGCAAAGACATAGAGGTTCCACATCCCGTAGATGCCGGTGAAGAAGGCACTGTTCACCTGTATCGTGATGTCCCCCCACTTCCAGTGGCCTTCTGTCACCTGCCCATCAGAAAGCAGTCAGTTAGCTGAGTTAGCTGAGCTATGAATTCAGCCTGCTAGAATGCAGATGTGATGCTACAGCTCCAACTTGGAGAAATGAGAGAAGTGTCAGTTCCGAGAGACCAGGGCTCTAGGTACAAAGCAGTGCAGCTAGGCTGGAATTCTCTGCTTCAGTCCCAGTCTGCAAGGAAAAAACACTGCTTACAATGGGACTGCATCAGGCTTTCTTTAGTTTATCATTCTTACACGTGATCAAATCCCTCGCGTTCTGCAATACGTGGCTGCCACAGCTGATGTGTTCAGCAAAGGCCACCACAGAAAGAGCAGTACCTCAGAGACAGCCACTTGCATCTGAGAACATGAGACTTCTATAAATAGACCTACCACACAAGGGGAAGTGGCATGAATAATGCCAAGAGTGATGTGCTGGGTGCCTTCCTGCTGCCTCTCTCTTATAAGGCCCGTGCTGCCTGCAGCAGCCCTCAACACACAGGGATTTGTCAGGATTTACCCAACCAATGCTAATATTACATGGATCATTTGCACTGAAATGCTGTCTTTCCATTAATGAAAATGACATGTGACAGTAGCATGCCTTCTCCTGATATGAAAATGACAGGACATTCTGCTCCAAAGAGAAGCCACGGCAGCACAACCTCGCCTTCAGGGGAAGACAAAAGCTCTCCTTGAAAAGAGCTGCTGGACAAGAGCCTTTGTGTTATATCTAAAGTCACCGACACTCAGTGATGAACCAAATCACCAATTGGCATTGCTAAGGACTGCTTCAGCCTAGCAGGCTTTTAAGAACAAAATCCTTTGCTACTGTGTTTGCCACTGGGACCCACCATGTACCCCACAGCATAAGCAGGGCAGCGAAAGAGAACCTACTCCTCCAGGGATAATTCCATTGGATTGGATTTGCAAGGCTGTGCACCACTGTTCTCCTGAAGCTGCAAGCTGCTTATGCTTAGGAACAGCCATAAATGGCAGCTTTGAAACAGATGCAATCTGAACTACAAACTGTTACTTGAAGTAAACCATCAAAGTATATTTAAACAGCTATATAAGCTCATGCATGATGCAGAGAGACTGCATCATAGCTCAGAATAAGTAGGTATATATCCTGCTAGAAACAACAGGGTTGTAAAGTCAGAGCCCGGAAAGACCGAATTCTGGCATTTCTTTGTGGGTACAGAAAGCCACCAGATTCTTTTAATGTGAACAGAACGATTTTGCTCTTGCTGAGTTCTCAGAAATGGCTGATATTTCAAAAAACAACAGAGCCTGTGAGCCAAAGGCCTCGGGGGAACTTTCAGCTGAAGCAACTTCATGGCAGTGTTTCAAATACATGAAAACAATTTCTTGAAAAGCGACTGATTACCAAAGGTGCCTATAAGATGCACACCTGCTCTCCCTGAGCCTCAAGTGACTCCATCTCATCAGCCACTGGAGAAACTGGGGGTGAGATTCCCCAGCACAGCTGGGTTTTGTCACACTCACCTGGCTCACGATGAAGAAAATGACTGTCATAGCTGCACAGGCCAGGGTGATGAGCATCAGGAACTTGAACCGAAAGATCAGCCCCTGTTTGGAGAGAAATGTCACCGGTCACATTAACAGAATCCACAAAAACACGTTCTTGTTTTTAGCATGTAAAGGACGCAAGGATAAAAAAAAAAAGAAGGAAGAAAGAAAGAAAGAAGAAAAAAAGGGTCCAACCCACGAAACCCCAAACCAAAACAACCTCCACCCACTCCTCTGCGCTGCATTCATGACAGCCAATATTCTCCGCTCCCCACACGTCTGCATTCCTCCCCAATGCTCCGAGCAGCCGTGCGTGTCCTGACAGCTCTTGCTTTCCATTACAGCTGCTTTTGGGACTGATTGACGAAACGTTAATGTGGGAGAGGAGGCAGGGCTGGCTGAGCTACGGGTTCCATCCATGGGACAGCCTACCTGAGGGCTCCCAGTCTTTGTTAAGCAAACACTGCGCAGTATTCAGGTTTTAGCAAGACAACAGGACACTGAGCTGTGATGGCAGGGGTCTGCTGGGCCAATTCCCACCCCAGAGCCTGCAGGAAGCTGCAGCACTGCTGAACGCTCACCAGAATTACAATTTACATTCTTCTGCAATGCAAAAAGCAAGACCAACTATTTAAGGCTCTCAGCTGGGAATCCTACCGTATTCTGCATTTGCTTTTGCCAGTTAAGTTTTTGCTTTAAAAATATTTGTACATTTTAAACAACTTCTGGAATTTTGATGGTAACATCTGTGCATACACAATTACTGGGCTATAGAGTAACAATAAATGACCATTAGTTTTACTTTCCCAGACCAGGCTCGTGCTTGCCAGATGGCTCTACGGCCACAACAGCTCTACAACAAAAGCTAACATCCTCTGCCTTTTGCTAAAGGGAAAGATGGAAAAATTCTTTCAAGTGCCATTTTCTACTGTTCACATGCATTCCTGATGAGTGATAACCAGCCTGCTGAAAGCTGACCATACTGTACAGAAAGATGCTGGTCACAGATTTTACAGAGCCGTGAAAACAACAGGCTCTCTCAGCTCAAGTACCTGAAGTGAGCTGCTCATGCTGCACAGCAAGTAAAGAGCTAGGACAGAAACAAGACTCAGGGGCTACAGAGGGGGGAAAATAAGCTGAATGCATCTGATTTTGACCCTAGTGTGACAGTTTCCCTCCTGCACTTTGGTTAGGAAAAGACAACCCCATAAATCTGAATTCATGTCATTAAAAAAAGAGGGTGGTGTTGGTAATATTTACCATTAAACATAATAATTAATGTTAGACAAGGAGAAACCAGGGAGCACTTTCATCACTTTATATAGGGGTATGGGCAATTTTATTCTATCCCCCAACAGAGTTCAGCAAGCTGGGAGACAACCACCACTGAAAAACCAAGAGCTGGTTTACATACCCTGAGAGATTAAAATGATCACAGCCAGAGACCCCCAGAAAGAAAAAGATGCCATGGCAGTCAAAGGGAACAAAAAGGCAGCTGGGAGATTTGAGCAGATAAGAAAACCAACGAGGATCAAACCTCCCAGCTCAGGCCTGCAGTAACAGTGAAGGTTTCAGTAGAGCCCTCAGGTGAAAAGCCATTGTACAAACAAAAGGCTCCATGCAGCAAGGAGTGACTACCTCGTAATGCAGGCGGCGGGCCTTGCTCATTGCTGGCAGGCTGGACTGCTTTCCACTGATGTTTCTGAACACTTGGAAGACCATAAAACACAGGAAAAGAAAATAGAGGCACAAGCAGATTCCTGCGACTATAATAAAGGCCATCTGAGTGGCAGAGTCAAAAGAAAATGGCATGAAATAACAGAAAAGATTATTTGGGTGATTCACTTCTTCTAACATGATCCCAAGAGTCATTGTTAACCTCCTGGTGGGAAGTCTGTATTAACAGCAGGACCTGGACCCTCTGTGCTGCCTCACAGATTTCAATGTCTCCAAGCACAGCACCAGTCCCAACATCTGGCACCAAACCTCCCACTACGGCTTCGTTGTCCACCATGGGACCCTGCAGTGCCCGGCTCTGGCCAGCCAGGAGGAAAAAGGCCTCCTATGGCTGCAGCTATCAGGCAGCAATACCCACAGGGCAAGCCCACCTCCCTCAGCCACCAATAATGTGTGCTGGGCCTGGACTGGATAGAAGGATACAGCCAGCTCTGTGCCAACCTCGGTGGTCCAGATGCTGTAGAAGGGATTTTTCAGCTGCACTCCCCTGCAAAAAGAAGACACAGAGCTGTCACAGAAGCCAAGAGGCTTACAGAGAACTCCACATCTGCTCTGCAGTCTGCAGACAGCTGCTCCTGCTGCTTGTCCCTGTGGGGGAGGAGGACACAGAGGTGGGAGGCATGTCCTACAGGACAAGATGCACAGATGTGAGGAGCCCAAAAGCCTCAGCATCTTCACTAGGAGTCTACTCCCTCCTCATGAGACAGGGCTGCACATCCACCCACAAGCTCCTTGCTCCCAAGGCACCGTAAACCTATGTGCTTGAAGTCAGACACCAACCTCTGCCCACTGCTCAGGGAAGGCTCCTGGGGCATGTGGCTGGAGGGCAGTGACACCTACCTCTCACACATGTCAAAGATGAAGAGGCAGAAGGAGCCAACAGCTATGGGTCCAACCTGCTTCCAGTACCCCGAGAGGCGGTTCCGCTCATTCTGGTCCTAATGGAAGGATGGGGAGGAGAAAAGACGTGAGAAAGAACAAGTTAGCCTGCAGTCCTCTCACCTGGAACAAGTCCCCAGAGCACCGTTTGCAATGCCCACCGAGGGATTCTGGTATTGCTACAAGGGGGCAGGGAGACGCCTTCTATCCTGTCATACCCACCATCATGTGCTCTCCGCAGAAGATGATCCAAAACGACAGCAGCATGGCATAGAAAATGCCTTGTCGAATGTCTCCAAAGAGCAACATCCAAGTCCAGTCAAATCCGATGGAAAACCACTCCACTGGGATGTTAATGAATGTCATGGAAATTCCCAGAGCAAAGATGACCCTGCAGAGACAGAAACACCATCTCTGTCCAGTTTGCAAGGAGGAGACCCGGAGCCAGAGTCAGAGCTGTTCCCAGCAAGGGACAAGAAAACCCCACACTGGGCAGCGGCAGCAGATTTTCAAGGAGGGACTCAGCTCCTCTGGGGTAAATGCAGCTATTCCTTTTCTGGGGGGTTTATGTAACAGAAGAGAGATGCTGTGGACATCTACTGGAGTGGACAGGAGGGAGAAGAGACGGTTCCCGATCCTCAGCTGTTTGCCCTGCCTGGCTCACTGACTGGCACGGTCAGGACCTGCTCAGCATGGATCTCCTTTGCCTCAGGGCCACCCTTCCCAGCGCAGAGCCCTCACTCACTTCTCCAGCAGCACAGGAGCGCGCGTCATCAGCGTGATCCGCCTCCAGTACCAGACCATGATGATCAAAATGCTGGGGGTGAGGAAGGTCTTCATGGCAAACCACACTTTCGTAAAGCCACCGTTTTGGTGGATACCCTGAGGAGAAACAATGTGCAGTGTGACATCTGTACGACTTTTGGTATCATGACTGTTCATGCTTACGGGAGCTGGCAGGAGAGGCATGCATTTACTGCACAAGCACACGTAGATGCAAGCACCCTTTGAAAGTCGTGGTCTGGCCAAGGCAGGAAGGGAGCAGCTGCCTGCTTAGCACCCAGACCATCCAAGGAGGCCTCAGAAGTCCCGGAAACAAAAGCCAAAACCCACAGCTTCCATCATGAGGCAGAAAGCGGTCAGAGAGGCACTTCTGACACAGCGTGGAAAAAAAAGGACAGAACTGCTCTCAGACAAGTAACAAGATACTCATGCAGCTAAGTCACCACGGGTGGGAAAAGCAGAGGCCAAATTAATGCAGCTCTCCAGACACAAGTCCTCCCACCGCCGTCTGCAGCCACCACCAGCGGCCGGCTCACCACCAGGCGGATGTCCTTGATTTCCCCGATGCCCACATTAATGCCCTTCCTCTCGTTCACGGGCAGGCGGATGTTGATGAGGTAGTACTTGTGAGCCACGCTGCCGATCTCCATGAAGGGAAGGAAGTCGCAGTCGTAGTGACGGCCCTCAGACTCCAGGGTCTAAAGAAAGGGAGGTGGCAGCACAGTCAGCTGCGCCCCGCACAGCGCACGGCCACGCGAACCCCAGCAGCAAACCGAGCATCACTGGTGCTGAGATCACCTGCTCATTCCATCCTATCCTAAGGCCTGGGGAGAGCCTCGGGTCACAGCCTTTGAGGACGCAGGGATCTTTTTCCTTTAATTTTCTGTTGCTTTGGGTCACTGAGTCGATAGCATTCAAACTCAAACAGGTTCACATGTCAGGCTCCTAAGCCCAACTTCAAGTAAGTGCAGCCTTTCAAGATGGAAGATTACTTTGGGACCCAAATACCTCCACCAGCAAATATAGCTTGAGCCAAATCTGCAACCTCTCCCACATGACTGAATTTGGAGTGTCTGCAGTCCTGTTTTACCAGCAGCACTCCCCTCCACACCTTATACACATTTACTGTGCACGTATGGCTCTATGGAAGAGCAAAGGGGTTACTGGTGGTAGAGGTGAACTTCTGAGAGAGACTACGAGACAGGAGAACAAGGCATAGGGCTGAAAAGCATGCTGAAGACACCAGATTGATTTCAGCACAGGAATTACAGTCTGCAGCATGAAAAGAAATACATATTCAAACAAGATGCTCTGTTCTCACTGCTCGTTGTGCTCGTTACTTATAAGCTTTGTAGCTTCAGGCATTAAGAAGTTATTTTAAGAAACTCCCACCCTGCCACATTCTGTGAGTGCTGCAGCATGCTTCTTTGCCACTCCTGAATAACAAGCTTTTGTGCATCACAGAAGCAGGAGACAGAAAGGTCTAACTGCTTTAGAGCAGTGTGGGGTACACAGATCCTAAAGCCTCCGACTCTGCCTGCAGCTGGATCTATGCACTGACCTCACACCTCTCTTACCTACTGTCTGACTTCATCTCTTACATCACCAAACAGAACTAGATTGCATGTGAAGCTCATTCGATTTTTAAAGCTTTGGAGCCAAGAATGGCAACAAGCTTGAAAGCTACAGGTGAACAATTCTAAGAAACACCAGAAAGAAAAGCAAGAGAACAATTCCCACTGCTCACCCACACCTCCCCACCTCCAGCACCACCAGAACACCTTACTTTTGGGGAGCCAAAGGTGCATTTCAGCTTCCTGATCTCTATTGCATGTGCTATTTCTTCCCAATCATTAAACATGTCATCACGATACGCTAAGGACACATCCAGGGTAATTTCTGCATTTTCTTCTGTAAGAGAGAGGAAACATGGAGATTCTTAGGAGTGGTACAGAACACCACAAAGGTAGGACAGCCCCAGCACGTTGAAAGGACATGAGAGGCACATAGTTACAAAGGATGGAAATTTTTGCATTCCAAATGTCACAGTTCAAATGATCTTTACCAAAACATTTATCTCCTCTATGGTAGAGAAGAAAGAACCTGAAGCTCTGGCATCTTGCTGACATACCATGACATAGCTGTGCTATGGGTGTGGGTGAAGAGCATTACTTATTCATGCAGCATTAGGAGCAATAATCTGGAATCCAGACAGTTGCAGAGAGGCAGGCAGGCAGCCAGCCATCAGCAGCCCTCACTGCGGGCTGGCAGGGGGACAGAAGGACAGGCTGGCACACACTGCTGCTGCAGGCAGCACAGGGTACACAACAGCCCCTTCCACATCAGGACGTGGCAGACTGCATCACAGCATTTGCTTCCAGTTGACAGTGAAGCAGCATTTGCTTACAGAGAGCCACAAAATAAGATGAACCACACAACTGCACGTGCTGTACACAGTTAGATGAACTGTGTAAAGGAGAAGCTATGCAACTAGTGGTACCCCTTGTTCATTTGGACTGATAGCACTTGTCATCCATCAACGTAATGCTGGGTTTCTGCTGGATGTAGATCACCTACCATAAATACTAAGGCCCAACACCCAAAATAAAAAGGCCTGCAATACGCTCCTTAACACAGCAGTTTTCTGCCAGAGATCTTAAATGGAAGAATAAAAGGGTTGCACTGATCCTCGGGTGGGGAAGGGGTCATGGAGACACTGCTGGAGAGTCACAATGCACTACAAGCACAAATCACTTAAAACTGCCCATAACTGCTCTCAGAAGGTAAATCAGGGTTCTTGGAGTGATATGAAAACATTACCCCAAGTACCTTAAAAAAAAGAATAAGGAAAAAAGAGAAAAATTGCAACATAGCTATGTTGTCCTTGCTGGAAAAAGGAAAGGCTGCAACCTCAGAAATGACTCCTACACATACCATGTAAGTGAAGCCTTTCTACATCAGGATTTTGAGGTCCCCCCCAACCCAGCACTGACTGCTTTCTTCCTGCACAGAGGCACCAGCTTGCACATCAAACACGCAGAGCTGATGCATCCAGCTACAGAACCACACAGCATGTTCATACTCTCCCTTACCTGGAGGGAAAACTAGAGGGGCAAATAATGAATTAGGAGGGGAGGGTTCCTGGGCTTCGTGTCTCCCCTGGACCTCTTCCTAGAAAGAATATTGGGAATATGGGGCATACCTGCCTTTAAAAATGCTCTTGCTAGGATCTTGCTGTAAGGAAGAAATGAGGCTAGAACACTTACTGAGGGACTCCAAGCGAGTCAGCTCATGAAACTGAAAGAGTTACAGCTGAAGTCTGCCAAGCAGCAACACAAACAGCTTAAAAACCCAAGGCAAGCCTGTACCAGCTCCACCAGATGTAAAATCCTCCTCTTTACCAGGCACGGCTCCAAGGGAAGGCTCTGAAAGAGGCACGCGTTCTGCAGCATGTGCGTGCTACAACCTAGCTGCTTCCATCCATCAGCAGCCCCTCAGAGAGCTGCTGGAGCTTCACGTGCCCTGCTGCTCGCTGTGCCAGGGCCCACACGCTGCTCCTGCTGCAAGCTGCTCACGCTTTCACTGCTGCTGATTGCTCACACTCACAGGTCCCTGGAAACACGCAGCAGCGTGCCTGTGGCTCCAGGCCAGCAGCCTGTGGGTGAGCTCACACACACACACACACACACACACACACACGTCCCACTGCCCTGTGCAGGGAGATGAGGAGGTGTGCAAAGCTGTGGGCACCAACCAGAGCTTCCTGAGTAAGGGCTGTGCGCAGGCATGGGCTGCAACGAAACACGAGCGCTTGGTGAGCTTTGAAGTGCAGCACAGAACGCTCTGCTGCTCCAAAAGAATCTGGCCTTCATAATGCTGCAGGGGAACCTTGCACGTCCACAAAGGACTGTGTGTATGGGATATGCACACCCCATATATTTGTCAACTTCTTCAGCCATTTGTGTGGGGACCACGTGGTGGCATGCCCATCCAAAAGGATGGGAAGGGCCGTGGATGGGATCGGCGGTTTCAGCTTGCTATTTGTGTAGCGTTTGGAGGTGGTTCTGTTAGGTCTTAATGTGGATGCAACTCGATTCTTCTGAGCATTTTTTTGCATACATGTGATCTATACCATCTTGACTGATATCGAGCTCCTTCCCACAGGCACTGATTAGGTTTCCATGAAACAAGCAGTTGCCATCTCAGATCCGCTATTTAGAAGACCAGTGCAAACAGATAAATGGGAACATAAGGTTGAACTTGGCCCAATTAGAAAGAACTGCAAACTCCATTTCAGAAGCCATAAAACCAACTGGAATGCTTGGGACTAAATCCAACAAAAACAGCTTTCGTTATTTCATCTCTGTAATCCAAGTGTTGCTGCTGCCACTGAGGATGAAAACCAGACAGCAGAAAATATATACCAGCGTATGTTTGTGAAATGATAGATTATCATCCATGCCTGAACTTCCATCTTTCTCTACATCAGGGTAACATCTCCCCTTAGATTAGAGTTTGGTGTGAATACCCTCCCTGGGGATCAATACATACATCTCTGTAGGGGAACAACCAAGGACCATGACTTGCTGTTCGGCTGAAACTGAATGAGGAAGAGTTCCTATTGCTGTACTCCACTGTTCCATGGAGGTGTCCACCTCCAGGCACCTCTGGCATCTTGAACCTCATCACACAAACTCATATGGGACAGTTCTGGGACCAGAAAGCGTGAGAGCAGCCACATCCCAAGAGATCTCTGGCCAGTGGTACAGGGTGAGTATTGCCACCTTGCCGACAGATAAGCAAACAATTTGTTATTTTGCTTTAAAAAAAAAAAAGAAAAAGAAAAAGGAAAAAAAAAGTGAATTCAGGCTGAGAACAGACTCAGAAAAGCAGGGACAGAGCGCAGTGTTTTAATTATTCAAGGCTGAGGCACAGCAGGAGGGGGAGAACCGCGGAAGGAAGGAGGAGGACAAGCTGGCAGGCACCTACACTCCGCCTTTCAGATGCTAAGGCACTCAAGGAAAGTCATTGCTTGGTTCCTCCATGCATGCCAAACAAGATCCTCCAGAAATTCCCAAAACAAAAGGTATGAATATGCAGACAGAGATCTGCTTATCCAGCACCAGAAGCCAGAGCTGTGCACGGCAAAGCCTCAGCAATCCTGGCCAGCACAGAGCATGGAGATAGTGCCTGGGTCATCCACAGCCTGGCAAACCAGCTCTGGGGTTGGAAGCAGTGACACCCTCACCAGCATCACGGGTTTATCTGAAAACACTTCCAAGCTTGCCTGTGTTCATTTTGTGATGTGTTTGGTTGGCCTGGCTATCTGTGTGTTCCACGGATGGCCAACCATGAGAAGATGCCATCCTGCTGGGGCTCCCAGCCCGGACATCTGACACCCCCATCACAGGACTGTTAGGAAACAGCTCTTCTCCAATGAATGCTCAGCACTGCACAGCTACCCAGCTGTGAGGGGAATCACCGTCCCTGGGGGTGCTGCAGAGCTGTGGGGATGTGGCATTGAGGGACGTGGGGGGGTGGACTGGGCATCTTTGAGGTGTGCCTGGTTCTGTACGCAGGCACAGGGCTGCTTTGTGCCTCTCGTGCTCTCAGCACTGCCAGAGTTTTGGTGCATTTTACTGCTGACTCTGCAGTACCCAAAACTCCCCCAGGATTCACTCTAGCACAGTAGCACAGGCATCTTCCCTCCCATTACAATAGTCCAAAAAGACAGAATTTGTTTGGGAGACAGCTGTGTGCCAGCTGCGTGCTAATCCAGCTATCTGGGAAGAAGCTCATGTAAGCAAACAGAAGAAACTTCACTATCATTTGCATATGCTTCCACACTTCACTAACTCAAAAACTACAAAACCTACCACAGACCCAAAACACACAGATTTGAAGAGGAACGTGCAGCTGTGCACAATTTCTTTCTAAAGCAAAGCAGCCAGAAGTCTCTCACTTATTAATATTTTAAATTCACTGGATATAAAAAGAGAGGCAAACATTCTTCTGGAGACAGAAAACTTGAGACATACCATACTGTTCTGCCCTCTGACAAATACAGGTGCCTGTAGCTGATACCCAGCTCTGAGCAGGGCTGGTGCATCCCATTAAGTGCAAACAGCCCAAACCTGTGGCAGTGCAGGTCAGAAAGTGAGTCGAAGATCTCCCATGTGCACAGGAGCACCATTCTGTGTCACTGGGAAAGAGGAGGTTAGGTGATCCCTCCTGCTCTGCAGAGCCAGTTCCTACGTACATTAAATGAAGCTCTGGAAGCTAAGTTAGCAGCAAGATTCAGACACACATAATTATTTCAGGTGAAGAAGTCCTCTTGCTTTTTTCTTTTTTTAAATCTGTTACAACACGATTTAGCAAGCAAGAAGCGTTATTCGCTTGTTTTGTAGACTTCACACTTCATTTGCATCTAACTTCAGCTAGACAAAAAGGGGAGGAAAGCAGCATTTCTAAGCTTTCTTCAGCCAATGAAAGGAAACCTTCAGGATGTGCCAGTAAGCTCACACAATGCACAGTATTGGCATGCCTCTCTCCAAACACTTCTCACAACCTGGGAGCACCAGCAGCCCCAACTGAGCCCCCAGTGATGGGGACTGGGACGGCCCACCCCCAAAACAAGACCAGACCACCTGCTCTGCTTTCGATCTTTCAGTTCCAGCCTTGAAGGAGTCGGTCACCGAGCTGCTTAAGTAAGAAGAGGAAGGAAAGGCTCTGCAATTGCAAGAGAAATGACTGTCAAAAAGCTCGTTTAGCATTTTAAGAGCCTGCCCCAGGTGCTGGCCAGGTGCTTATTCCAGCTCAGTGCTTCCAGCCTGAGAACAGTGATGGCTCTGTGCAGCAGCCCGGTGAAGCCTGGGAAGTGAGGAAGGCACAAAGCTTCTCTATATGTTAGAGATGATTATAGGGTTAAGAGCATCTGCAAGCTTTAGAAAGCCCAGTTTTTAACTTCTCTTGGTGACCATCAGGTACATGGCTTCTCCAGCAAAACAGCTGCCCACGCCCCAGTTCAGCCCAGTTTGAGAGGCAAATTGTTTGATTGCTGTCGGGCTGTAATTGTTAAGAGAGGGATTTTCCACAACTTCAGAACACACAGACACACCTACAGCTGTCTTTTGGTAAGGGGCAGAGCAGACTGTGTGTGTGTGTGTGTGTGTGTGTGTTACACTTCACCTTCTCCCAGGCACAGGGTAAATCCCAGTAAGTCAGCTTCTTCCACGGTTCCCATACTGGTGTGGTTTGGCCATTTCATTTTGACCACTGCAGCTTCAAGGTGAACTACTTGGCATCCACATTTCTCAAATCCAACCCAAGCACAAATGCATCTCAGCACCTGACAGAACCTGTCTTGTGTTCATGAAACACTCAGAAGTTGTACAAAGGGCCATGGCTCAGTGGGAAATACTGGTGGGAGGTGGATGGTTGGAGTGGATGACCTCAGAGGTCTTTTCCAACCTCAGTGATCCTATCACTATATGACTGGAGGCAAAAACTGCCCTCACAGGGACTTGATCTACTGCAAGCTGGGCACTCCACAACTTGAACTACCTGGGAAAACTGCAAAAAATAATAATAATAAAAGAAATATATATATATATATGTATACACAAGAGTGCACACTATGAAAGCAAATTGCTGAATTTAAACCAGGGTAGGTCTTAACTTTACACGGTCTGAGAGCAATAAGGTAAGGGGGAATGGTTTTAAACTAAAAGAAGGGGGTTGTGTTAGATATTACTGGAAAGTTCTTCCCTCAGAAGGCGGTGAGGCCCCAGTACTGCTGCCCAGAGCTGTGGGTGCCCCATCCCTGGAGGTACCCAAGCCATGGATGGGGCCCTGAACACCTGGGTTATGGAAGGGCCCACACTGTAACATCTCATTGCTAACATCCACCTTTCTGCATCATCTCCCTGCGTTTGGGCACTCAGCAATTAGCATATGGTACTGCATAAAGGCAACATGAAACTGATGCTGCAAAGCCTATGCACAGTGAGTAATAAAGGGCAGGGTGCAACTTACTCAGGTCATTGTCCATCTTGAAGGCGATGTCCAGCTGCATGATGAAGAGCATGAACTGGAACCAAGGGCTCATCTCCTTGTTGGGGAGAGGGATGTGCACAGCAAATACGATGTCATTGGCCTCGATCTGCCTGCTGACCGCCTCATCAAAGTCCTTGAGCTTCTCGCAGGGGTTGGATCCCCAGGGCATCAGCCACTTGGTCTTGTGGTGGTTTTTTCTTATGTCAATGCACTTCACTGACATGTAAGGAACAGCTGTAGTGGGGCTGGGAGCTGCAAGTGAAAGAATCGTGCTTTTAGAATCAGCATCTCGTGCAGTGGTTTCCCCATCAAAACACGCAGCTCCCTTTTCAGCTATTTGAAGGCAACTCAAAACAAATGCATCCAGTGATCCTCCTTCACAGCTCCTTGATCCCACAGTTAGTTAGCCTTATTATGCCTGCAGATGTATTACTGACTCTGCAGTGTTATCAAAACAGAATTTAGCCCAAGCACTGGGAATCCTCTGAGACTGCTCCTAGAGCTGCCCTGCCCCACCAGCAGGGGTGCAGGCACCCATCCACCTTGTATCAGGGAGATGTCCAACACCTCACATCAGATAGCTAAACTGTGAGCAATCACCCTGCTCTGGCTTTACATCCAGGAGGAAATGGTTGGAAATGCAGAACGCAAACAGGGATAAAAGCAGAAGAGAAATGCATTCAGCCATCAACCAGGCCTCCACTACTGAATTCACATCTTCACACCTTCACATCTCCCTAAGAAAAGGCTTTTGCTTTTCTAACACAGTTCTGCCCCTCAAAGCCTTTATGTGAAGGCAGTTCAGCCTTGCTTCTGTCGCCCTTTGGTAAATCAGCATTTCAGTGCTACCTGCATGCACTGCAGAACTGGTGAACTCTGACTGCAGCCAACGTGACTTGGGGGTGCCAGCAGTCAGAGCTCAGTGACAGTTCTCCTGCCCCTCACAGCCCTTGGTCACAAGAGGCAACACAAAGCAATGCATTCTGCTGCCACTGAAACAGGGCTGTCTTATTTTCCAAAGTATTATTCATGAAGCATCATCACATGCTCTCACTAACTTCTTCCAGGTTCACAGGATTTGGAAAGCAGAAAGAACAGGTAAGCTCTTCTTAAGCTGTTTAAAGAATTGTATTTATTTCTTTGAACTTCTGAGTCCGACCAAACCTGTTCCATCCCTTTTTAAAGGAAAACAGAGAGAAGTTAGAAAGTTAAGTGCAAATTCAACAATGTGAGAGTGCTCCAATGAAGAGCGAGGAGCACTGAAACATTTCTACACCGTGAATTAAAGCAGGAGGAGCACGCAGTGCAACAGATAACTGGATGTCAACACCTGCAGGGAAGAAGGGAGCCAAGAAGGCCAGGAATGGTCTGAAATCAGCCAGCCAGCCCATGGGCTCCTACAAAACTACTTCCATGCTGTGACCATCATCCCTCTGACACACAGCCCAGGACTTCTGTGCAGATTCCAGCCCACCAAAAACACTCCCCATCAGGTAATTGGCACCCAATGGACCAACTCAAGCCCTTCAATGAGACAAATGGAACAAGCCAATGCACCAGCACCCCTCAGATGCCAGAATGAAGCAGTAAAAGAAAATATATGGAGCATTCACAAAAAAAAAAAAATAAAATAAAAAATAGCTTCACTGCAAGCCCAGGGTTACAGAATGTACTCAATGTGGACCAACAGTGCATTAAACACAAAAGTCATACGGTGCAATGTTCTTCTACCATGACTCGATGCAGAACCCGACAGCAGTGTCTAAAACTGCAGCTGTGAGCAAGAATGGAGAATGGTCTGAGAAATCAGCCAGACAGTCAGGCCAAGCCCTCTCAGAGCTTCTTAGCCTCGTAAGATCTTTGTGATTTAGAAGTAGGCATTTCTGAATTAAGAGATACAGTTACTTCTGCAGGAAAGGCTCACGTTTCCCGCTTTGATGCAGCTCATTACAGCCATAAATACACGTTTTCATCACGGGCTGATTACGATTTTAAAGCCCTGGCATGTTAACATAAGTATCTCCCTGCCAAAGCTACAGCTTTGAGGAGCAAGAGACAATTCCTATACATTCTTCTTGTCGGGAGCCACGCACCAAACAACGTCGGCACTTGGCTTGGGTTACTTGTCTGGCTCCATTCCCATTACATTCAAGCAAGTGTTGAACCCAGTGGAAAAAAAAAAAAACACTTTGGGAAACTGCAGCCAAGTCAACTAACAGCATTACAAAGTGCTATGCAAAACAAAGCGAGCATCAAGGGATTGCAGCCGGCAGCGGTGCCAAGCAGGCTGCCTTCCGCCTGCTCCATCCGTGGGCTGCGAGGTGGGGTGGCTCTGACTGACGTATTATGCGATATATGCCTGCCAGAAATAGTGCCATGGCACTTTTTGCTCAACAGCAGATAAGCCCCAGCCGTGCTCCTGCTGTGCTGGCTGGGATGAGAAGTCAGGCCCTTCCCCAGCCGCAGGGCTGGAGGCAGCCTCCGCCCTGTGGGGCTGCTGGGACCCACAGGAGCCCCAAGGACATCCCGGCTCCCAGGGCTGGGGCCACTCCATGGGTGCTGAGAAACCCTCCAAGCCATTGCCTATGAGAAAGTTTGTATGCTCAAGCTGGTGTAACTCTGTCTGCAGGACAAAGCGGCCCCTAGAAAGGACACGGGAAATCAGAAGCCGAATTGCTTTCAGCTTTGAATGATCCCAATCTGCTCAGCCTCGTGTTGAATCATGAGCTGTGATTCATCTGAGACTCAGAAGATGGCAAGGTTACACAAATGCTCCAAAGTAGAGGAGCTGAAGGAGGCATCTCAGCAGACTTCACATCTACTGACAGCAGTGGTCAGAGAAGCCAGAGATCCTGCAAGCTGATTCAGCACAGCGTTTCATCAGCGCTGGCAGCCGTCCCACTGCCAAACAGTGAGGATTTTTCTCCTCCATCTCAAGTGGAATCAAAATTCTTCCACTTCCTGTAGACTACACAGAGCAGGAGGGAGCACCCATCGCACAGCTGGGACCTCTCAGCTCACCAGCCCTGCATCCAGCCCTGCCTTCTGCTTCCACCCCCACACCGCCTGGCCAAGCTCTGCAGGAACGGAGCATCCCATGCCACGCACCCAGGGGAGCAGTGACAGCCATTTCCCCAGCAGGACAGGGGCAGGTGGGCTGCAGGTGCCTCGAGCTGCTCAGCCAGGGGCAGATTCAGTGAAACAAACAGCTCTTTTTCATCTATTTTTCAGACATTTTAGTTCACAGACAGCCATCCCAGCTCGGCTACTTAAAAAGGCGAGTGCCCATTCCCCAGCCAACAGGAGCACAATTAATGACAAAATCCTACCCACAATTCTCAGGTTTTTTTGTATACAAATGTAGTTACCAAAGCTTCACGTTACAGAACTGTGCTTCCTCGGCCAGTCTGTTAAAGATGAATGCAATGAATTCTCAAACAAATCTTTCCTTCCTCCCTAGCCCTGCAAACAGGGCGCTCAGCCCACGCACCACAGCAGCATCCTCTTCTCCCACGCATGTCCTTACCTCTGGGATATATATTTTGCACCTTCTCATCTAGAACACCTACAGCATTTCCAATTAACTACTGACCCTTGCTCTCGCACCATAAACAAACCCTTTACAAAATCTCAATTGCATTGTGTCTACATTGATTAAAGCTTGAATCCCACTGACCTCATGCAGTGTTAACTTCTCCCATGCACCGGGAGCATTCTGCTTTTCTACTCAATTACCCCCTTCTGTGCAGAGCCATCACTACCCAATGAGCACACACAATGGGCTTCTGCTTCATTACACTAACCAACAGCAGGATAGGAATAAACAAGCTAATTTATCATCCAACAGACTGAGGTTTTCCAGCGAGAGCGGTGAGAACCTGAATAACGTTATATTTACTTATAAATACATGTTTATTACAGCACAAAAGTTTTCTGCCTCCCTCTTCGCTAACCTTACTGCTACCAATCCGGTGTTAATGACTGCCCACCACAGAAATCCTTCCTTTCCTCTCGTTTAATGCTAGCTACTGTTTTTATAAGCCTACATAAAAGCTATTTTTCTTAAGACTGACGGCAGATTTTGCACACAGAATTGCTGTCCATTTAAATATCGAATGGATCTCTAAAACAAAGGAAATCTCAGTACTGCTGTCCCAAAATTGGGTTCTTAGTTCCCCACTGATTTGAGTTCCTAATTCACTACTGCTTCTCAGCATCCATTAAGCTACCATGCTATCCAAGAAGCCCCTTGCCCTTGTGAAAAGCAAATATTTTGTGATATTTCATCACCTTTTACTCCACTTCTCCTGGAGCTGTAACTGCTTTTTCTGTCCAATGCAGTACAGGTAAGGCTCACAATAGGAAAATCCATTCCACTCCTGGTCAACAGGGAGAGGGGCGTTTGCAGAAGGGCGCCAGCTCTGCACGTGGTTCCAGTGGAGCTGCTGGGGCAGATGAGCACTGCTGGCTCTGCCTTCCCCAGCACATCTCTCACTGCTGGGCAGTAGGAATGAACCTGTCCAAGCACACACGGCCTGTCTGTGTGATTCCCAACCCACATCTGCACCCTGCATCCAGGATTTCTGCACTTCCCTGCAGTCAGAAGCTGTGGGTGCCCCTTTGGAGCAGGAGGAGCCATGAGCTGATTGTCACAGAGCTGCAGCCACCCAGATGCCATGAGTGCCATCGGCGTCAGACACACAATCCCCATGGTGACACCCGAGGGCTGGAGCTGGCACAGAAGTGCTGTGACACCCCTTCCTCCTTCCCAGGCACCCTGCAAGACTGGTGCATCGACTTCAGAGGCCGGGGCTGTTACCTGCTGCACAGCACACTTCCTGCTGAGCAGTTCTCCCTGCAGGGCAGCCTGCCCACATCTGATAAAGCCAAGCGCAGGCAGCACCAAACAGAGGTGCAGGAGCAGCTCCTGCTGTACATCAGCTGTGAGGGACAGCATTTCTCTGACACAGCTCTCCCCAGAGAGCTCTAGTTTGAAAGTGATGCAACTGTGAGAAGAGAGGGGGAAGAAAGTATAAAGAAAAAGATCACCCCAAAGGATTTACAGCCCTGACGGCCCGCTCCTCCCAGCCTCAGCATGGCCCTCTGCCTGGGAGCTGCCAATTCCAAGCACATTTGCCCATTCTGTTACAGTTGCAGCTCTTACAAAGAGGAATCCGGCAGCGATGACCTTTCACGTCCGCTCTCTGCCGCTCCCAGAGCTCTGCCAAGGCCGCAGCGCAGGGAATGCACTGCACAGGGCACAGCATTGGCACTGATGGCCATAGAGCAGCACTGTGCTGGAGGATTGAGGGGGGGGCGCTGAAGGGGACACTGGAAGCTGCCATAGAACCACAGAATGGCCTGGGTTGCAAAGGAGCACAACGCTCATCAGTTCCAACCCCTGCTGTGTGCAGGTCACCAACCAGCAGCCCAGGCTGCCCAGAGCCACATCCAGCCTGGCCTTGGATGCCTGCAGGGATGGGGCATCCACAGCCTCCTTGGGCAGCCTGTGCCAGTGCCTTTGTCTGAAAAACTTCCTCCTCATATCCAACCTAAACCTCCCCTGTCTCACTTTAAAACCATTCCCCCTTGTCCTGTCACTATCCTCCCTTATAAGCAGCCATTCCCCTCCTGTTCATACGCTCCCTACTATGGTAGGCCTGGTGGGCCCTGCTGCCTCCTGCCCCCACCTCAGCCCAAGGAAGGTAATGAAATCCCAGGAAAGGAAATTAAATCCTGGAAAGGCACTGCTTGGGAGCCAAACCCGACATGTAGATAATGAGCCGGGATTGTTGATAGCTGCTCAGCCATTTGCACTCATGACTCATTATCTCTCTGGGCAAGACACACGAGCAGCAGTTTTATTGGCTCCAGTCAAAACAACTCCGTTTTTTTCCCCCCCCTCGGTCTTAAAGCAAGAGAAGGAAGCGGCAGAGCCGCTCGCTCCCAAATGCATGCCTTCATCCCAGCGAGGAAATAAACGCCTTCACTTCTCCAACCAGTTACGTGTGCAGAATGTATGGTCAGCTGCTGTATCCACTACTGAGTGCTGGTACACAAAGCCAGCTCTGGAGCAGGACAGAGGGAATCCTGTCCATCCTGAGGCCATCTGAAGCGCCTCCAAGCGTGTTATTGAGCAGCTGCTCCAGGAGGGCTTTGGGGGCAGCTTCTTCCCCAGAGAGCAGCAAAGAAACAGCCCTATAAAATCACTCCTTACGGCACTTCTCATGCCTCAGCTTCACTGAGCGTAGATGCTGATGGAGCTCTGCTCTGCAAGCTCTGACTCCTGTATGCCTTCATCCCATGTTTTGCCAATGCACATTTCTAACCAAAGCCCACAGGGATGCTGATTGAAGCTCTGCACCTGGACAAAAGTGCCAGCAGAAATACGTTCGAGTTTAATAAAGCTCGCATAAATAGTTTGTTGTTCACAAACTCCATCAAGGACCAGCACTGGCAGAAAACACAGTTCCAGAGGAACGAAGCTTTCTGGCCGTATCAGGTACGAATGTGTTGCATTTGTGTATTTTTTTACTTGCAAAATAATCTGTTAAAATAGAGCACTTAGTCATTGTTTTGAAACATGACCTGACTCCCTGCTAGAGGAACGGCAGAGCTCGCTTTGTAGCTGCACTCCCGTTGTGTACATATTTTGGTTTGTCTAGACCTGAACAAACTAAAATAACCGGATTCTTGTTGTCTGTTTGGCGTGCTGGATCAAACCAGACCGGGTCACTATTTCAGTGGCACCTCAGCTCTCATCCCCCCATGCACTACAGGAGCAGCATTACTCACAGCCCTGCCCTGAGGCTACCAGCAGCTGTCCCAGCACCATCCTGGAGGGCTCGGCACTTTGCAGAACAGCCACCGACCCAGTCTGGGTGAGGCAATAACGCAGTTTGATCTGCCTGAAGACTCAAAGCGGGGTTTTCCAGCCATGGAAGGTCTGCCCATAACACCCCCCTAGGACCTGCCAGCAGGCAGAAGGCGTCCCTGTATGATCAACAAACGTCACCCTAGGTCTAAAAGAGGCATTGAGCCCTGAGCCACTGCCACACTGCCTGCAGGTCCCAGAGCCCAGCACTGGGATGGGCCCTAATGCAGGAGGCGTGTATGGTGTATGTATGGCAGATCCAAGCTCCATTCGGGTTCAAAGGAATTTCAAGATGAAAGAAAGAGGCCTGTGTAGCCCATGCAATCCTAAACACAGATACATCTGTTTATCACACCTGTTCCCAGGTGAAGACAGAAACAGATCCTTCAATAGGTTTGCTCTGTACACACAGCTTTATGAACTTGGAGAGCTCTGCTGCAAAACCCTTCTAGGAACAAAGACATCCTTATGACCATGGAGCACAGCTTCTCTGCACAACATGGGGCAAGAAAACGCATCCAGTGAATCAGCATCGGGTTCAGTAACCTGCATCTGAACCAGCTCCATCCAAACCAGCACCTTCAGAAGAAACCGGGCAGAAAACCCAGTCCTGGCGTTGAGCGGGTTTGGGCCTACAGGAGCAGAAAACTCAGGTTTCAACCCGATGTTGCAAGGGGCTGCTTTGTGATCGAGCACCAGAAGGATGAAAGCAAAGTTTTGCGCATTACACTTAGCAGAATTTCTTCAGCTCCCACAGAGCAGCAGTTCGCAGGGATAGGAACGCAGAACAATGGACCTGCCCTCGGAACGCCGGCTGCAGCTCTTTCTTCAGCGCCTCTGAAATGAAGATCGCTGCAAGAACGTTCCAGCCACGCTCCCCTCAACAAAAAGGGCGACGCGTCTCAGCCGCGGAGCGCAGAGGCGGCCAGGGGACGCGGCCGAGCTGCTGGACCCCGCGGGCCGCAGCGCTGGGGGGAGCCGGGCCGAGGGAACCCCGAGAGCGAACCGCGGGGGGCGGCGCCATCCCCGCCCGGAGCCGAGCCACCCCATCCCATCCCATCCCCGCCGCTGTGCCTTCCAGTACCACCGCCAGTCCCGGCTCTGCCCCCCGCCCGCCCTCCTCCATCTTTCTCCCTCCATTCCCCAGCGCTATCCGACGTCGCGCTGCGCGCTCCGGGTTCGGTGCACAGCCCCGGGACAGGCGGCCCCCTCTCCATCCCCCCTCCCCGGTTTCCTTATGACTGCTAGCATCGCTCTACACCTGGCGAGTGCTGCCGCAGGCAGGAAGGCTCCCTCCTCCCGCGGCCCGGAGATGGGGAGGCGGTAAGGAACGAGGGAAAGCAGAATTAACAATTTGAAAAAAAAAAAAAAAAAAGGTGAAAAAAAATAAAGAGGGAAAAAAAAAAAAATAAAAATAAAGAAAGGTTCGATGGTACGTTCAGCTCCAGGGCCCCGCGGCACCGGTCGCCATGCTGACGGCTCCCCTGCCTTTCTTCAGGCACGCCGCGAGCAGGCCGGGCAAACTTTTCTCTGCCCCTTCTCCAGCCCGGCACGCACAAAGGGGCCCGCGGAGCTCTGTTTGCTTAACGACAATGCCGCGCTAATGAGCTCATGGAGGCGCGGCGCTGACACCGGAACGAGCACCGGCACCGCGGCGGGGGGAGAAAGTTTGCCCCGGCGGCACTCACCGATCAGACCTCCCACCAGAAAGGCGATCACTTGGAACACCAGCAGGATCCCGCCGACGATGCACAGCTTTCGGGTGCTCATGTTCTCGATGATGGCCCCGGCCATGGTGGCGGCGGGGCCGGGCCGGGCGCGGCACTGATTGCCGGCGGGGCCGTGCGGCCGTGATTGTGGCGGGGCGGGCGCGGCGGGCGGCTTTAAGGAGCGGGGAAGCGCATCACGTGGCGCCGCCCCCCCGCCCCTCCCCGGCCCCGCACCGCCGCCCCGCCCGGCCCGGCCCCGCGCCGCTCGAGCTGCGGGCGCTGGGGGTGCGGCGGCCCCGGGGCGGCCGAGGACCGCGTGGCCTCCGGAGGGCCCCGCCGACCCGAGCGGTTCCGCGACGCTCTGAAACGCGGCACCGTGCTGGGGCGCGTAACCCTCGCGGGCCGGACGCGGTCACCGCACCCCCTGCGTCCCGGTCACGCGTCCCGGTCTCTCTCCGGTGTTCCCGTGCTGCTTTGTCCTCCTCGCACCGGCAGTCCCTCCCAGTCCCGCTGCCCTCCGAAGCTCAGAGCGGGGCTGCGGACACGCGGGGATGTGGGTGCCGCTCTGCCCCCAGGCCGGGCGCGTCCCCGTGCGTGCCCCGTAAGAACGAGCTCGTTCCTCAGCCCTCATCTGCTTTGCAGCGTTTGCGCCTTGCGGCTACTGATGGGGCACCGCGAAGGTCCGCGCCACGCTGCTGTCGGACTTAGGATGAAGAACATTGGCTCAGACAGAGCGTTTGCATTTTAGGTGGTCCCACGTGGAGCCAGGATGGCGCTTGTGGGTCCTTTCCAAAGAGTCCTGTGGCTCTGTGTAGGACGGGTCCAATGGGGAGTGGCTGAAAACACTCCTCGAGGACAACTATGCCACAAAGGGATGCAATCACTGACAAACAATGGGCAGGAATCATAGAACCATTTAGGCTGGAGAAGCTCTGAGATCCCCAACCCATCCTGCCCACTGACCGTGTGCCTCAGTGCCCCACCTACACATCAAATGAAGGACAGGTCAAATATTTAGGGGGTACAACAAATAACCTGAAGCAAACAGTCAATAACAAGAAAAAAAAACTAGAAGAAACACAAAAAAAAACCCCAAACCAACGATCCTCCCAGGCAGGAAAGGTGCAGCGCTGGCGGTGCAATGCAGCTGCTGCCCACCCAACCCCGGGCTCCCAGCACCATGCCCACATGTGGAATGCAGACCTCTGGGTGCTCATCTGCACTGCACAGCACCACGGCAGCTCTGTGCACCACAAGAGGCAGGGCACAGTGACAGCAAACACTTCTGGTCATAGAGTTGCATGGTAGAGAAGCAAAGTGCAAGCTCTGCCTCGAAAGGAAAGGCTGCAGCAACCAGTGCCTGACCCTTGCCCAACCACCGCATGGATGCACTGCTGGAGGCCAACAGCAGTGCAGCATTTTGGGTGATGTCACGGAATTGACACTGCCAAGCCCAAAATCCAATTGAAGAGGACAGCAGAAACCATCCCCCATGGCTATGCTGGTTTTCCAGCACCATGGCTCTGGCTCCTGCTGTTGACCTCAGACCACCAAATGCCATTGTGCTGCTGCTGCTGCTTTCTACTTCTGCAATCTCTTTCTGTTTTGCAGGGCTGACCAGTTCTTCTCCCCCTCCATGGTGCTTATGATCCCATCCGGGTGCAGGCATCCTGTGACAGTGGTTCAATCTTCTCAATCACCACAAGTTCAACTGTTTCAGCTTTGTTTTGGCTTTACTTTTACATTACAGTTATGACTTCACTGTTTAAAAATAGCTCTTAATGCACACGTGCTTTGTGCCCGTTATAAAGGCAGTGGGATCGTTGACACAGATGTGCTTTCAGGACCAAAGGCTGTCAGTGGATATTGGCCAAGGCAACGGCCTTGCTTCTCATAACTGCTCCTGTGGGTGATGTGTTCCTGGTCTCTTTAAGTAGTAGCATGAAACATTTTCTCAAAGAACGGGAAAAGGGCGTTTTGTGTTATTTCCAGTTCACGGATGGGAAGGGAAATGTTATCTTTGTAAGAAAACCCTATTTTATGGCTGGTAACGCAGCACCCATCTAAAAAGGAAGTGTTGGTAGGGAGGGCTCATACCAACGAGCTGGCAGAGATCCACGGCCTGCGACTGCCCACAGCTCAGGGATCGAGGCAAACCAACAGCTGTGCACCACTCCATCCAAGCCCTGCCTGGGCTGCAAATATCCAGCAGAATTCCCAACCCACAGGGTAGGTCTGTGCTAAGCGTGCACCCGCTTGTAGGAACAGCAATCAGCATCTCAGGAACAGCGAGAGGTGATGGCCTCACAGAGCCAGGGAGGGTCAGGTTGGATTTCAGGGGAAAATCCTTCTTGCAAAGAACACCGGCACAGAGTGAGCAGGGGTGGGGGGTCAGCATCCCTGGGGGTGTTCAGAGCCGAGGGATGTGGCACTGAGGGACGCGGGTGGTGGGCAGGCAGTGGGTTGGGGAGCTCAGAGGGCTTTTCCAACCTCAGTGATTCCATGGTTCTCTGACTCGCACCCCAGGTTTGCACAAACTCCCTGCTGGCAGCCCTTGTGTCAGCTGAGCAGGAGGAATGCTGCTGGTTAATTAATTCCTGTACATGAGCACCAGGCATGGGCTCCTAGTGCAGCTGCTCTGATGCCAACAGAGCAAAAATTGAACAGAACACAACCTTAGGAAAGGAATCACCTCCCCTCCATGGCTACAACCCGCAAGCAACCACAGCTGCTTGAGAACAGATGTAGGGCACTGCATGGGCAGCAGTGGGCACTGGCAGCATCCCCACGACAGCTCTCACTGCTCAGCATCTCTGCCCTGCATGCCCTCACCTGCCCTCCTGTCCCCATGAGCAGCTGCACAAGCAGAGCCATGGGTGTGAACCCACTCATGGTGTGAACTCGGGAACTGCTCAGAAGGCAGTGTCTGAGATCACTGTCCTGATGGCCTTTCTCTGATATGCTCTCAAAGCCTTCCCTGCATCACAGAGTGCCTGAAATGCACCAGGATGGAGCTCCAGTAGGGACAGTGAGGTTTCCAGTCTGCAGAGAAGACAAAATGGAGCTCACTATTTGATAGAGAGCACATCTTGGTTTGTCAGGCCGAAAATGCAGACTTGTGATACCCCGAAGGAGGAGCCAATAACAGAGTATTAAAATAAATTATATTTTATTAAAGACTGCTTAAACTGGATATTTAAATTTTATTTATAGTCTTTACCATTACTGTGTGGTTAGAAGGCGCAAGCCATCAAAAGCAAAACTGCAGAAAGCCCATATTTTCAGCATTTTTCTGTGCCTGCCAAACCAACTCTTTTGAGCATCATTCCAATCAGCAGAGCTGCTGCAGCAGGACCTGTGAGCAAGGCTGGGGCAGATCCATCACTGCTTTTCCAAGTTCCTCCTTCCAAACCTCTCCCCTGACCTTGAGCTCATCTGGCAGCAAGCGTGGCTCTGCTCAAACCCTTCTGTCTGCTTGAGTGATGATGCAGAGGCTCCCTAGGTTTAACTCATGCAAAGCAGCCCTGAGCTTCCCTGTCTCCACACTGCCACCCTTACAGGGTTACAGAGAATCAAGACCGCAGCAAGACTTCTGCAAGCCAGATGTGCACGCTTTGCTTTCTCCCCTGCTCACTTGGTCTACCAGTGCACAGAGCAGACAGCCCCTGTCAGATCTGCTTTATTAATTACTGTGTACTGTACTGACACGTTAAGAGCCACAGGGATGTGGTGCTGAGGGACGCGGGCAGTGAGCACGGTGCGGTGGCATGGGGTGGGCTTGGGGGCCTCAGAGAGCTTTTCCAGCCTGAATGATTCTATGCTTCTATGAAAACCAGCTGTCAGACTACATGTTTCACCTTCCTTCACAACTACTGCAGCCTGGCACTTCTCTGTGTAGGTGCCCGTGTTTCCTTTCTGCCCAGCAATGGGCATCGCTGATGTATGACCAAAGCAGGTGCAGGGCAGCAGCAGCAGCCTCGAGGAGGTGGCAGCCCAGGTGCAGGGCAGGCAGATGTCAGAAGGGCTGCAGATGTGCTGCCAGACCAGGGGGCCTTTCCGGGTTTGTGTCCTCCTCAAAAGCAAGCAAAGAATGTTATTTGTGTACCAGATATGGACACTTGAGTATGACAGAGTGATGCTCAGTTTGTTATTATAGGACAATAAGCTTAATGTCATCCAATTCCTTCTACCAGCTGAACCACACAGTTGTTCATACTCAAGTCTTCATGCTGCCATCACTTCCACCAGAACACAAAGAACACATTGCAGAGGTTTTTCCAACCTCCTCTCGCCATTTCCCTGTTAAACCCTTATGTTCCAAACATCCAATCCATTCCATTCAGTGGAGAAGACAAGATGAGCAGATAACGTAAAAACTGAAGCCAGCTTTCCTAGCCCCATGAGAAGTGAAATGTGCCCACATGGGGACGTGTTGCAGTACCTGCTTTGGAGACACAGCACCAAGGATCACACTCCTATTCAGTGCCAGTAGAAGCTGATGGCATTTGTTAATTAGCAAGATGGAATCAGGAGAGATCTACTGGAACAAATCAAATTCTGGTTGGTAACAGCTCTGTAATGCTGACTGAAAACAGTGACAAACATGGATTAGCTTTACTGCTCCATTCCTCTGCTAAGCAAGCGATGGAGCTCGCCTGTATCAGTTATTGGGAAAACAAACATGCAGATTCCCAACGTCTGCCTGACTGCATTCTGTGCAGAGTTAATGCAATTGGAACAGACGGAAGTCCTGAGAAGCTGGGAAGTTATATTAAAGCAGTACATTCAGCCAGCTGTGTGCTGGTGAGGCGTTCTTAAAGCACCCTTTGAAAGCAAAGACAAGGCACGGGTTGGTTCTGGAGATCTCCTAGAAAGAGACATCTGTTTTGGAAGCACCACAAAGGGCCATCGCCAGAACCATCCCGTAATAGTTATGAGCTGTAATTTGACGTTTTAGATACACATTCCTCTTGCCAAATAATCTCATATTTTTGCTCTTGGCAGAGAAAAGAAAGAGAATCATATATCCAAGATGAGTAATTTAGTACGATGTAATCAAGGCAAGCTGCTCCAGACGAGGGACGGCCTTTGAGTAAGAGAGGGTTTGTTCCCTTAAAATACAAGTGTGTGTCCGTTACAGAGGGAAATGCTTAGAAAGA